CCATACCCTTTGTTTAAAGTATAAGAAGCCTCGAATTTTCCACTTATCGTTTTCTATCGTTTTGTGAATTTTAATAGCAATGTACTGTCACTTGTAACGAATTCAGGAGACCACGTTAGTTTGGGCATGCTTCTTTATAGTCGAAAGTCATCCAAATTTGTCCACTTTTCTTTACATTTTGTCAACTATGTAAAAACCCAGTACTTAAATTTTATTGAAGCGATACACGTCAATGGCTACGTTTCGTAAATCCGATAGCATGATTTTCTGTAAAATATGATTTTCTTCACCTATTAGACAGTATGTAATATAGATTTCTGAAATGGGCTCAATTTTTTATGTGCCCGTAATATGCGTAGTGTTTAATTTCGGGATTTGTTGGCACTTTTTATGGAGGAAAGTTCTTGCTACATAGCAGGATGGAAACTCCAAAGGGCTTGCAGATGACGGTTATAACGCGATTAATCGCAGCAAAATGATTTAAAAGAATACGAATAATCACATGCAGTTCAAGCTGAAATATACACAGAATTGCGAGAAATCCCTGAACTGATTAACAAAAGATAAATATTGTCTAGGTTGGAGCTATAAGTTGGTAAGCTCCGAAAATATTGTCCTTCTACTTCACACCGTAGCACGTTAGCGTTACATTATGCCCCTTCGCAACCATCTACGCGTAGTCACGACTACTTCGTTCGAAAACTTTTTTACCTACTTTGAATACACTTATTACAATTGATAGCCGTGTTTATAGGAGTCACGTTAGTTCTGAAACAATTTTTTAGAAATTTTCATTTTTTATCAACCATTTGCCAAAACGCATCATTTGAATGAATGGAATAATATGATTTCAAGAATATTCATGATTGGGAGACTTTTTGGGATCTTAGCTTGGATACACCCAGTAGTCGTTATTTCACTTGTTTCGTAATCCTATCGACGAAACCTACTTCTTGCTTCTGATATAGTTTAGGCCTCGTCAACCGGGAGTTTTTGCGATAGTTCCGTGGTAGCGATTGTAGCGTAAGAAGTGCCTGACCACCTTTGGAAATTCTCAAGTATGCTCCAGGATCGCTCTGATAATGCGGAGAAGCGATATCTAACGAAGTGGAACCTATCTTCGGTGTACTTCTCGGTTATCATCGGTTTCTTAATAACACTTATCATTTCTGTACTGATTTTCAGTTCAAAATTTGCACGTTTCCAATCGGATGTCTAAATTTCTTTGCATTTCTGTCTCCGCCGTAACCCTGAAGATAATCCTGCGCTCATTAAATCTGTTAGTCTAAACGTCGACTATCTGTATGGTATTTGAATTCGATATCAAAAAGCCCTGAGGCTTATCGGAGACCATAAGACTCAAGAAAAAAAGGGAGTAGCCTATACTTCATAGTTACTTCATTCGTCACGAATCAGACATCGGGGGTGATCCCCCGCCCTAATATGGAGTTTACACACCACAGTGTATTAAACCCATAATGTTCAGTAATTTATCCGAAGGGTCTAATTTACCCACTGTATATATTTAGGGGACTTGCTCAAGTCACAAAACGTGCAATGGGGACCAGAATACATTTTATAAAATTCGGCTTTGAGTTGACGGGTGAAAATATTCAATGGGTGCTTTCGTGTCCCTTGCGAATTCAGCATTACATCTCTGATAAAAATACCAGATCTAGGTGCAAGATCATGGAATTCTCCAGGTTGCGTGTGAAGATATTCCAAACGACTTTGAGTGTGGATACTCTTTAGTGACTGCTTCGCCTCTACCACCAGATCAAGGGCGTGAAACAGAGGTAGCCTAGATGAAATCCCGCGTAGACTTGCGCGTCACAGAATCTCTTAAAAATGAGTCAAGCTGAGAGTTAGCATTTTCATAAACCTGACAGGGACTCGTGTCAGCGCCGGAAGCACTTTTTATTTAAAATTTGTTAGCAGATCTAATTTCATCCTCGAGGTTTGTCAACAATCATAAATAAATTGCAGACCAAAATCATTAGCTCTCCTTCAAAATCGGCCTTAATTGTGATTTTCGGAAACATGTTACG